GGACCAGAGAGGACGGCCTCGCAGAGGTGGTGACGCCTGGCAAAGGCTCCCAGCACACTCTGAGTGACGCAGACCTGAGCCTGCCCGCGGCAGCTCTGCCTCCGGCTATGAGTCCTCATTTGCAGTTTGTCACAAAGACATAAACGAGGCGGATGAAGCCCGACCCTAGCGCCTACAGGAAAGGGAACTGGGGACAAGAGGAGGGGAGCTGGGGACAGCGGGCAGAGATGCTGTGGTGACAGCCTCAGGAGGCCACACCCATCTCCTTCCGGGCCATTTCCACCCAGAGCTAAGGTTGGCACGGAGGCCCTAAAGTGCCACACCAAACGAAGGTCACAGGCTGGCCCATCCCACAGCCCTCCCCAGCACTCCCGGGGGGACAGCGCCACGGTGAGGCTGGTGTCTTCCTGGACCACCCGCCTCTGACTCCCCCTCCAGCCTCTGCTGTACCCAGTGTGAAACGCATCCCGACGAGGCAGGCGGGGGCTCTCGGCATTAGCGCCTGCTGCTCTGCCCACTCCCGCCCCAAAGAGGCAGGCGCCCCTGTGTGCAGGTCACGAGCCCTGTGACAGCCTCAGGAAGGACGCCCACAGGTCAGCGCTGCTCCACAGCCCCACGCGGTAACCTTGCCTGATGGAGCCCGGTCCGCAGCGCCCACGGTCCAACGGCCAGTCCCAGATGTCGGCAGCTCGTCAAACAGGCTGCTTGGTCTGTCATCTCGGGGGACAGGTCAAGCCGTCAGCCCCATTTTGGGGAGGAGGCTGGAGGACGGACTCTGCCATCCAAGGAGGCACAAACCCGCCGTCAAGCTGCTGCACGTAAGCCTTCAGGTCCTGAGCAGCTCTGTGCCTGACCCCAAAGAAGCCTCAGAGCAAGGGCACACGAGGGACACGGTCGGCTGGCCTCGACAGCCCCTCCTCCCGGGGCCCCCGCAGGGGGTACGATCATCAGTTTCGGTTCACTTGCGCTCGCCCTGGAAGGCATGCACACGACCTTCCATGGATCCCAAAGGGAGAGGCGGCAGGACCTTAGATCAAACGCCACAGTTACTGCGCCCTGGCTGAGAGACCAGACATAACGTCCCCCCAGAAAGACACGGCTAACAGCAAAGCCCGCCTCCTCCCTTGACCACCCACCAACCGCAACAGACAGACGCGGGAGGCGCGATGGACGCAAGGCAGGGCGCGTGAACATAGCTCACGCGCGGTTGCTGCATGCAGATCCCCAGGGACTGGCCGTGTGGACCCGCTGCCCCAGACGTGAGACTCCGGACGTGTCGCCCGGTCGCTCGCAGGCGGCGGGGGAGGGCGCCCCTACAGCAAGGCCCGCCACGACGGCACACAGAGGGCGCCCTGCATCCCCTCGCACAGACGCGCACTGGGCAGACGGGCTCAGCAGCAGAGGCATCAGGCTCCTGCCCACGGCCAGCTTCACCGTCTCCCCGCCCACCACGGCGAGCGACGAGTGTCCCCACAGAAATCGGCTTTCACGCCGCCCCAGGGCATGGCACTCCGACCTGAGGAAGGCCAGACCCGAAGCCACACGGTGCGCTGAGCCGCAGACCCCGCGAGGGAGGGAAAGGCTGAGAAAGGTGGGTCCCGGCTGCCTCTGCTCAGCCCTGTAGCATCCTCCTCCCACCTCCCGACGAAACTGTCAGTCGAAGCTGACGGTGAAGTGAGTGAGTTTGTTTCACTGCAGAACGCTCAGCAGCAACACGCAGCAACCTTGCCTGGCGTTTCTCCGTCCATCTCCCGTGCAACACAAACTTACGTGCCTACAGGGTAACAAGGGAAAATCTTAGATTTAACCGGAAAAAAGACTTCACCAGCGGCAAACTGATAAACTATTTAGAGAAGGGCTCCACGGGCCTGGGTCTCATGGGCCAGCAGCCTCAGGAAAAAAGTCATCATCGTGGTCCCCCTAAATTCCTTCTCCACCCCAAATCACCCCTGTCAAAATGTTTAGTTTCGAGCACCAGAAAAGAGGAAAGCTCCATGCTCGCAGCGCAGGCGGGGGTTCAGAGGCCGACTTTCCGCACTTCCAGCTGGGATGGGGACAGCGCGACCCCCTAGCCCATCCCCGCCCTCGGGAGGCCTGCGGGCGCTTCTGACGGTTCCCGCAAACAGTACGAAGATGACCTTTCTTCCAGGTGCCCGACCCTTGTAAATCGTGCAATCAAGGACGTGGGGAACGAGACAACTAGAAGTATGGGCAGTGGCCACGTAAGTCTAGGAACTTAATGACGTCTCACTGCCTTATCGGGACAGCATGTCACCTGCCCTCTGTTACTGCAGAAAACTCAAGGGCCCTGCAGAGCACAACGCCCTGCCGTGCGCTTAGCTCGGCCATGTTTCCAGGGACCCCGACTCATGCTTAGGGACCAGGCACCTGGCCCACAAGCGTCTGCGCTCGTCCTCGGCCCATGTGGTTGGCACCACATCTACGAGGCAGCCTGAGGTCTGCCACACGCCGAGAAGCAGGCTGTGGGATGCTGGGCCACCGTCCCTGCCCGTGACCCCTGCAGTCATGAAGGGCAGAGAAGTATCCCCAGGGCACGGGCTGTCACCTCTCGGTGCATGGGGTGCAGACGCCGGCCCTCAGCAGGCCAGTCGGGTGTCCTGCCACACCTGTCACCATGGCTCCTTCTGGAACAGATGAGTCTCACCAACAGTTTGTAGCAGCAATATTTTAAACGTTTTTATCATACTTAATGGATGCAGTGGTCTTGGCATTCAAAAAGGAAAGTCATGGGTATTCATCATGGTTTTGCTTCCGGAACGCAGCGAAGACCACAGCCCGCCGGCACCGGCCGCTTCTTCCTGGGCTGCAGCCGACGTCACGTTCCAGCCCCGTTGTCTACACGGCCAGGGGCACGCGCGCTTCTTCCCAGGCACCCTGCAGACGGGACGTGCTCTCCCGCACCAGCCCTGCCAGCTATCTCGCCGTCAGATCATTCGTGAAGTCCTACTGACTTTGACAACTTTCCTCAGACTCACGACGGCGTCCCCGGGGGCGGCGCCCTGACAGGCTGCTCGGCAGCGGGGTTAGCCCTCCTGCGTCACGGGAAGGCCATCTCTCGGTCCTGTGTGTGATTCTGCATGCAGGATACGTCCCTACGTGTAACCTGCCTCCCGTGGTAATGCGTCTTCCAGGGGCCCTGGAATGCATGCTCTCAGACGGAAATTTAGGTTAAAAATAATAACAGAGCCTGCTTAACAAGATTCCATTTACTGTCGGCGAGCGTGAACAGCTGACACCAGGCTAAACTAATAATAAAACCAGCAGTGAATCAACTCGGCACTCCAAAAAAACTGTAAGTCATACCAAACGGAGCAAACACGCGCTACCTTGAAATATTAACGACGTCTTCCGAAAGGTGCACCCGCACAACGGCGCTGAGAAGGACGCCATCAGGGCGGCAGACCCGCTGCCAGCAGCGGAGCCGGAAGACCCGAGCTGTCTGGTCGCTTCACTTCGAAACAGATGGGTGAAAGTCAAACCCAGGGGACGGTCAGATGCAGCTCAGCCAGGAAGGTGTTCTTCTAAATCCAGACAGTGCCGGTTCTCCACCTTCTAGATGCCAATGACGTCATGTTGTCCGAGGTCACCTGTGTGTGCTGTCACAGGCGGACTGAAAGGTCTGAGCTGCCCACTCACCCTGAAGTGCCCGTCTGGCCTGTGAGATCCTGGAGTCCCCTGAAGAGCATTTTCCCCTGACAACCCAGGCATCTCGGCTATTTTTAAAGAAATGCACCATCGAACGCCCCGTCCTCATCTACGCACCCAGTGCACTGCACCCTCAGAAGCAGGCTTGAGTTCTGACATAAACCATCGATAAGCACCAGTGTGATGGAAGGGAAAGTCCTCTAGGCAGCGATCGAATCCCTGCTAAGACACTGCCTCTGGGGAGTAAAAGCCCGTTATCATCGACCTGACAAGTGGGAAGCTGTCAAGCACAAAGACCCCCGGGACGGAGGTGTTCCCTGACGGGGCCACCCCAACAGCTGGCAGAGAAGACCTCGGGGCGTCCTTCTGGGCAGGAAGCAGCTCGGTCAGGCTATCCCCTCCTCTTGGGATGTAAATAATGCATGGAGGCGGCCTAAGTTCCAGATCGTGCTGGTAAATGGTTCGTGAATGGAGCCCAAGCGGCCAAGTCTCCGCTCAGGCCTCCAAGCTGCCCGCTGTCCCGAGGCGCAGACTTGCGGGGGGGGGGGGGGGGGGATCAGGCAGCCGGCCCACCGGCCTTCCTCATCGGACCCCTCGCATCATTCCAGAACCTGCCCATCGCACAAAGCCGAATAGAAAGGCACCTGCAGAAACACCCCAAATTTCTAAGTTTCTATTAAAATGACTAAATCCTCAAAGCCGTTAATGAGAAAAGCTAAAGGAAATATGTCTTTGGGTGGTTTCCAAATAACTCAGGATCTTAAAGGCAATTTGGCGCCGTTATCATATTCCGTGCCACTTTTCTTTCATTAAAAAAAAAAAAACTGTAAGATGTAAGCCACAAAAAAACACAGTAATTGGTAACTGGCTCCTGTAAAGAGCTCTACCTTTGGTTCAAAGACAAGGCACATGATAGGTGTCATCTTTTGAACACTGAGCACTTAGCTTCTCAACTGTTTGCAAACGGAAGGCAGGAGACACAGCTCTCACTAGTTGAGTTGCAGGAAAGTTACTGAAAATACATTTCCTGTGTAGAATGAAAAGCTTGACTTAGGAGTAATATGAAAATTACTTTTTCTTTTCTAAAGATGAGCAGAGGGAGAGGACGGGGGCAAAATAAATGACACATCACCCAAAGCAGGGCTCACGCCGCACGTGGGCTTCACGCTCGGGGGCTGAAAGGGGGGACGCGGCAGCGGTGTTGGGGGGCGTCCATCGCGGAGTCCCAGGCCGTGGGGGTCGGAAATGCTTCTCGCCTGGATTCAAAGCCTGTCTGAAAGGAGCCGGGGAGTCCTGCTGTAAGAAACGTAGAGAACAGCGAACAGGAGGCTTACCCGCGGCTGCCAGTTCTCGTACTGCTTCTGCAAGTTCGCTCCGATGGTTTCCAGAGCCTTCTGTGGGCCCATCGACAGAGGATCTGAGGAAGCAACGGAAGGAGAGACCTTTAAGTGAGCGTTCCCGCCTCTGCTGACCCTGTCCGAGTTTCCTCTTACACAGCTCACTTCAAATCACCTCTGACTCAGGCCACACGACAGGGCTGAGGTTCAGCTGTCCCCGGCTAAGGGGGCTGCTGGGGTCCTCCACCATGCCCAAGAAAAGGGCGGGACTCGACGGGCCCACGACCGGCCTCGCCACCGTGTCTCGGCACCTGCGGCCTTCCACATGCGGGCTGGTTGGCTCCTGGGCTCCTGTCCGGGCTCTGCATCGGCTGCGCCTGTCCGACAGAGGCACCGCGCCGAGTGGCCTGCAGCGCGGATCCGCTGCCCACTGCCACGTGCAGCTCTCGTGTGCACAGGAGACACAGGGACAGAGGTGGTGCGTTTAAGTCGCGTGCATCTATGCCTGGTTTCACGTGCACACGCTGGCGGTTTGCCGGCCTGGTTCGGGGGTGGCTCCTAGAGCAACCCGCAAACCCCGCTCCCCGTCTCGGGAGCTCTGTGCCCTTCAGACAGCTCTGCTTCAGCGGCTGCGTCTTAGCATTTACTGTACTGAAAACGAAGATGAGCACTTTGAAAAATATTCCCTTATTCATTCAAAAGAAATAACGAAGCCATTCTATTTGAACATAAATATTATGGAAAAAAGACTATTCACCCCAAAACTAATGAGCAGCAGCGTTTTACACTTTGCAGTTTCTTTAACATCTGGTTTTGTTCGTGACAGCTGAACTTCCACATCTGCTTTTGCATCCGCCCGTCACAATCTGTGGTTTCAGGTGACATATTCAAGTAAAGTCCCGCCCCCCACACATGCACGTCGTTGGCATGTTAAACAGCCTCTTTGGCTGAGCGTGGCCGTCGTCTTTGCTACCGCACCAAAACTCAGCAACAGCTTAAGATGACTTGTGATGCGGAGTCTGAAACCACAGCAATAAACTCGAACTCTGTCACATCAAAACCCCTTGGTCCATCTTCCACTTCGACTGCATCTGTCACCCACAGGTGATGCTGTACCATGGTCACTGTGCATTTACAAAACACCTGTGCACTGAGCTTCTGAAGTCTCGACTTCCACCACTGGCAACAAACACTGTCAGCTGTTCCCCTTAAAGTGACAGCTCACTTAGTTCCTCCTCCAGAAGATGCCTGCCAAGCACGCAGGGCCGCCTGTGGGTCCTTCAGGTGGAAGTGCCTTTTGTCTCTGCTCAGGCACCAGCAGCTTCACCCCGTCACTTCTGCACCGTCACTGCAGCCGGCAGTGCAGGGTAAGGCCAGTGACATCTGACTAGAATTATAGAAACAGGTCCGACCGGGGGTCCCTGAGGGTCCCTGAGGGTCCCCAAGCACACCGAGTGTGGCTGTCTGACACTCCTCTCAGCGAGGTTCCTGATTTCAATCCAGAGGCGGGGTGGCAGGACAGCAGAGCACCTCGCTGGCTGCCACCTCGCCCTCCTCCACACCGAGACCAAGGCTCCCACCTGACGCTCTGCACGCCAGCCCCAACCGCTCTCTCAGAAACCCTGTGCCTCGTCAACGTGTGCCCGTGGGTCCCACCTCACCCTGCTGACCAGAGCCTTCCCATGCATCTTCAGACTCGGAGTCTCTCTCTCTCTCTCTCTCACACACACACGCACACACACACACGCACACACACACTCACTTGCACACACGCACACACGCACACACTCGCAAGCACACATACACACACTCACACACACACTCACTCACTGGGCTCAAGGGGTCGGCCAGCATCACAGGCTTGAAACCCAACAGCGGCCCCTGCCCCACCCAGCCACCTGCAACACCACCAGCTGTTGCTTCTGACACCTGCCCCAGGCTGTCCTACGCCAGATGCCGACGTCACTACTTTTTATTTTCACTGCTGATACCAGCACCTACCCTTCTCCTACAGAGGACAGGATGACTACTCCCTCTCCCACACGCCACGTTTCCATTAAGTGCCCAGTGCTGTGCATGAGCGTGTCCATGGAAACATCACCCACTGCTGAGCCCACTGGTGTACTTCCTCATTTTCCACGCACCGATTGTTCCACCCCAGTCCCCCAAAGTCTCCCAGACGCCACCCTGCACCTGGGGACGGTAGCAGAAGGTCTAAGGTTTGTGTCACTGGGGTCTCGGAACAAGAAACAAGTGCTGAGCTCAAAAAGCACTGAAGACAGAGGCCTGCTAACCTCCAGATCTGGTGAGAGGCACAAACGCACAGTGAAGCGCACACAGGATTAACGCAAGGAAATTCACACCCAGACCCATCACAGGTGAACCGCTGAGAGTGAAAGACAAAGGGGAGTCCTCAGAGGGACCAGGAACAGGAACAACTCCCGGCTTCCCCACGACAGAGAAAGCTGGACGGAACACAGCAATGCCACCGGAGACTCCGTGGTAATGAGTCCCACCGACTCACGTCTGGGGATGGCACAGAGATCTCCTCAGACAAGCGACACTCACAAATCTGCTCTCACGCTCTTTTGTTGGGAAACGAATTGCAGGAGGTGACGACGGGTCTGGAAACAAGAGAGCCAGGAGACAGAGGGAGACGGAGGGAGACAGAGGGACCATGTACCAGGTCTAGAGACCAAGGAGTCCCACGGAACACTAGGAAAATCACTGACAGCATCTGACAGATCTAGTGGATATTCGTAAAACAAAATAACAAACTCATTAGTTCACAGAAAATTTAGCAAATAGAAGTAACTAGCAAATTTGTAACTACGGAGAAAAGTTCACGTAGCGAGATGGGAGAGGCCTCCAGGAGATCCCTCTGCGGGGCTTCTCCCCATACGCCTTTCACTACCACTTGATTTTTAGGGTACGCGTGTGCTACCTTGATTTAAAGAATAACGGGGATTATGAAGTCAAGGAAGACCTCTATGGTGGGGACGTCAAAGGCATCGGGGGCTCCCCACAGCAGTGGTGCCAGGCCCCTCCCCGGGCGTCCAGGCCCACTGCTCAGGAAGCGCCTGGGCAGTGGGCTGCGAGGATGAGCTGGGGAGACCCGGGCGGAAAGTGCCGCCACCGACGACTCAGGGCATCAGGCGTTAGTCTTGAATTTTAACGACCCCAGTCAATGGTGCTGTAATCTGAATCACAAGACTGGCAAAGAGACAGGAACGAATTAGGGTCGGAAAGCGAAAGTCAAGGGCCAGCTCAGCGCAGAAACACAGCAGAGGGAGGCGAAGCCTCACCAGACAACGCGACTCCAGCAGCGGCTGTGCCGGCGCACGGCGACCAACCGAGAGGACGCAGAGGGGGTCGGAGCCCGCGTCCGTGCGCCCCCCCACTCCGTGCAGCGCCCTCGTGGCCCGCGCTGGCTGCGACCTGTGGTCACGAGGCCGGAAACGGTTTCCTCCATAAAGAGGTACGAGGCCCGTCGGGGAGCCACGCTGACCGGGCGGTGCTCACGCGTGCTCTCGCCAGGGCCACGACGAGGGAGGGAGGGCCGAAGGCCCACAGGTTGGGGCGAAGCCCCTTGAATGTCACCCCCTGGACCGCCCAGGCCCCCAACGCCGCACCACCCCGTGCTCACACGAGGCCATCTCGAAAGTGTGCAGAGCCGGGGAGTGTGCAGAGCCGGGGAGTGTGCAGAGCCGGGGTGCGGGGGGTGCTGCCATACTTGCCTGAGCACCCTGACACCGGACGTCCTCAGCCGTGGCCACAGCGGCCAGACAGCAGCACCTGCTCTGCCTGCCCTGGTCTTAAGTTACTGACCCGCCACCCGAGCAGGGAGAACAGCCACTGGCCGATCACCGGGTGTCGCCAACTTGGTAGGCGGTCACGTCCAGGCTGCTGGGGGTCCCCGCGGCCAATCAGTCTTACGGTTCCCCCCGAGAATGTGACGGGACTGGGGGGGAATGAGAGGGGAACGGGACGCGGCAGAGCGAGACAAGTGAAGCAACACGCGCAGTGCTGCAGTAACTCAGACGCCGCGTGACGCCCCCGACGACGCCGCGTGACGCCCCCGACGGACGCCAGTG